AATAAAAAGGTATGGTGACTGATTGATCATATTGTAATGATTGCGCTAAAACAAATCTTTCATTCTGGTTTATTTCATTATGGTAAATATAAAGACGAAAAACACTAACTACATCTTCATTTAGATTTTCGCTACTTGAATATGATGCTAAGGGATTGCTATATTTATAGATCAAATAGTGTTGAAGTGACATTGCTAAATTTCTTTCCATATTCTAAATTTGTACGTTTAAAATACAAAATTTCTGTATTGTTTATAAGGTTTGTTGTCCTAGTTTATTAGGGTGAAATGAGCTAAGAAATTTAGATTTTTTAATTTTTTTTTTTTTTTTAGTTTCGTAGTTTTCTAGTACCATATTTTTTGATTACTTATATATATATATATATTTAAGTATCTATTTATTTTAAACCATTTATATATATGTATATATATATATACTTTATTATTTTAAATGTGGTTTTTTTAATTTTTCTTTAACCCAATTTTATTTATAAACAGTCAATTGAATTAAATTAATTTCTTATTTATTTTTTAGTTAGTTATGCTTTTTTCTCTTTTTCTTTTTTTTGGTGCAGTCGCCGAAAGAGATCAGCAAAACACGAATATATAAAAAGATATTTTAATATTATACGAATATCTATACATTTGCTAGTATGTCATAAAACTTTACAACTGAAAAAACATAACACTTTTTAGATAGATTTTGGAAGATTCGAATATTAAGATTTTTTTTTAAATCCAAACTTTTTTTCTTTAATTTTTAGATAGAAAATCGAAAGATATTTTATTTTAATAAATTTTTTGATATTAGCAATCTTTAAGTGCGCCATAATATCAAACCCCCTTACATAATATAAAATAACTAAACATATTAGTTATTAAATGTTTTTTAATTCGCTTCAGAATCTTTAGACATATTGTCTTCAGATTGGTTAGTATGTTCTTCGTTCAAGTTATGGTCTTCTGCGATTTTTTCATCTTGAGCGGTAGTACAGGTTGGTTGTGTTTCTTCACGTGGTAGATCAACAGTGTTATTACTATTTTTGTTACTTTTATTACCTAATTTTTTTTTTTTTTTTTTATTTAGTACTTAGTATTAGTATATTATTACTTATTTGATGCTCAACGATTTTAAAGGAAATCAGAATATTATTATTATTATTATTACAGTTATTATTATTATTATAATTTTCATATCTCTAATTTGAGTTACAGCAGCTTTCAATATTGATAACCTAGATGTGGAACTTTGTGATAACGTTCATTAACAACCTTTTCTTTTCCTTTATTTGATTTTTTTTTATTTGGAAATGAATCAAATTTTTCAACCAATTTTTCTAATTCTTCATTTCAGAATCTCTTATTTGTTGGCACTTTAGTATTATTACTTTCAAAGGTTCCCGTATTCGGGTAACTCTATTCTATGACCTCACAGACAACACAAACTGATTTTTTAAGAGTTACCAATTCACCAGCAACAAAAAATATAGGTGACGTTTTGTTGCTTCTGCAATATTAGTATAGTGACCCCTGGGGTCGTATTTATACAAAATAGATATATTGACCTGTGATGATGTTACCCTATTGTAAGCCAAACATTTTAAATGAAAAATGGCATTATCACTATCCGGTGTACTAGAATCTTGCACAGGTGCAGTAAAAATGCCGAATGCTAAGGAGATGGAAAGATCATAGATGGTCAGGTAATCTTCGACAGTTTGGATATTCAACAGAGTATTCTGTTCAATAGTAACCTTGAATAAGAAGTAAAAAAAATAAAAAATAAAAAAATATTAACCGAGTAATTTAGAGACATCCAATTGAGATTTTATGTTTTTTTATTATATATTTTGTAATTTTTTTTTCTTACGTTTAACCTATCAGCAAACGCAAAATGACCAATGATCAATGATATATCTGACTTCGTAATTTCTTTCACGAGAGTTATTTCACTATATCTAAAAGCTTTGAATTTATATTCCACAAATTCATCATTTTCTGTTCTATATACCGCGATTCTGCTACAACATTTGCTTGATCCCACAACGTTCTTAATGAATAATACAGTACAAAAAATAGAAGATATTTTTTATTTAATTTTACTGATTTTTTTTTAAATTTTTTTAAATAGTTTGTCAAAAAAAATACACAAGTATTTTATAGAAACAACAAAATGAAACGATGTTATTTATAAGTTTTTTTTTTTCGCTTATAACTATTTTCAAATTTATTATTATTATTAAAACACTAATTATACTATTTTAAATTAAATTATACAGGTAATTTTTAAATAATACTTTTTTAGTAAATTAATATTAACAATTTTTATAAATAATATTTAAAGATTTCATTCAAGTCGTAAGGAATTTGGTCAAAATGCAAGGAACTTATTCAATTCAAAGAAGCAAGTAATTAATTTAGCTATAAAAAATCTATTGATACTACACCATTCACAAGACGATAAATCAGTCATCCATTGAAAAATAAAGAAAAAAAAAGAAACTAGAGCAAAGTGTATGAATAAGTTTCAGTAGTTATTATTAAGATTTTGACGGGCATTGTTATTAATTATATTACTAACTTTTTTCTAGGGATAGAAGTTACGCTATACACATATGCGTATATATATATATACATATATACATACATATAAACGTATATATACTGTACCTATATATATGCGTATGCTTATTTTGATGTAGAAAAGCAAAACAATAATAATAAAGAATTTAAGAAATGTAGCGTGGATAAGAAATTTAAGAGTGTCTTTCTATAATATGGTATGAAGAAGTAAAAGAAAAAAAAAAACACACACTAAATATTTTTATTATAAGACAGTTATATTACTTTTATTCAGCATATCGATTTTAACCTTGAATCAAAAAAAGAAAGTATATTAATTCACGAAAAAGAATACATAGCATTGTTATACAAAGTATATAGAATGTTGGAAAGCTGTAATATTAAAGCTCATTATTTTGAATTATTTTTAAAAAGCACGAAGCGAGAATATTTAAGTTTCTTGGATACGATTTTAAGTGGCGGAGAATTGGATAGTTTTAACATAGTATGTTCGTGGTGTCATCTTTTGATTGACATTAGAAGTAGCTATAATGCTATTAAAGGAAGCGATTTCTTTGTAAATAGTATAGAAAGAATTTATATAAATATTATGAAAAAATTTGTTCTCTTATTTTTAATGCTATTTAAAACTTATATTAAATCCTAAGTCTTGTACATGGTAGAGTTTGTATCATTAAGACCAGACCAATTTGATTTTCTGCTTAATATAACCCCACCCCCCTCAACTTTTCAAAATTATAAGAATACACATAAAATTAAATAAACTCATTATATTTTTCAAAATTCATATAGATCAATAAACATTAAATTAACCAATAAGATTGCAACTACCTTTTCTTACAAGTAATCTTATAGTATGTCAAACAGAAAATCAACTTAGCAGGGCCTAATAGGAAAAATTTAAGTGTACTAAAAAAACTGGCATTGGTTATTGTAGATACTTAGACTCACACTCAGGTCATAGTCTATTAAACATCTAAATTCTAGAAGAATCTCGTATACTGCAATTTACAATAATTATTTAATTAATAATAGCTATTTAATCTCTTTTTTTTTCGTGTTAAGGAAGAATCTTTAAACATACATGATCTTTATACTGAATTTCTTTCAATTTTTTAATTAACCAAAAAAAATGACCAATAATTAATAAACCTTTCATTGATTGTTGAAAATAGAAAATCACACCTTTAGAATGCATCA